CCAGCCAACCAGCTGTTACTGCACTCACACAAAAGAACCTCTTCCTGGAAGTCATAAATCACTTTGAATTTGTGTTGGCACAGAGACCAAAGCAGGAGTATTTCACAGGAAGCAATTAATTTTTGTCACTTGCTCTCAGAACACCCTCTCCAGCATCATGAATCATAGCAGCTCCAAAGATGCACCACTGTCACTGCAATTTGGGGGCTGATGTGTCTCTGCACAGTGACAGCCCATAGCCTGCAAGGGCACAAATGATTCACCAGTGTGGGCACACTGCTTACCCTCAGGGACGATCCAGTGCTGTTCCTAATTGCAGTATATATATACTATAAAGCCAGTCAAAACATGAGCTTCTTTGTCCATGATCAAGCAGTAGATGCTTTCATTCCAGATCTGAATGTGTAGTTTAGCACAGAGTGCAATACTTCAGAAGAGGAAGAATATCTAATAACTATTTGTTGGGATTTAATGGGTGGGAAGTTAGGGAAGGGAAAGGAAAAATGATAGAAAACAGTCTGATATGTGCAGACTGACTTAAAAACAAATATAAAATGGAGAAGGGAAAGGCCTCAGCAATTGTGATGCTTTTATGTTGGAATGGAACAGGGCTCACATTGTGAGGCAGAACATAGTATGCGAAGGGTCATTAAGATGGGAGGATCTATATCTCTGCAGAAGAGGTGAGAAGAGCAATGAGGTGAAAGTGCCTGGAGCATTGAGGGAGAACAACCCCTTTGATCCTGATCACATTATTGTTTATTAATTAGACTGAACAGCTTAGGGATGTGAATGTGGATGAGGTTTAAAAATTCCTTAGCAAGTGTCTGGAATGTGAATCCCATGGGGAAGGAAAGAAGAGACTTGTAGGAAGGAGTAAGGTTGATACTCAGTTGAATGAATAACTTCACAGATAAGGTATTTAGTAGAAGAATAGAAAAGATAACCAACTAGCAAAGAAAATACATCTAAGAGGTCAGAAAATTTAAGGGGAAAATGAGACTCAATGAAAGTCAATCCAAATTAGGCTTTTCAAAAAATAACGTAATAAAAAGTGCTACTGACATACAGATAATACAGAACAGCAAGGGAAGAGGCATGCTAGGCTATAAGTATGAGTCTAAGACAGGTGGTTAGCCCTCCTCTTCTTTGAATTTAAGTAACAACATGGATATAGAAGAAGGAGAGCACGACAGAATTACAATATTGTACCCAAGGTAGATAAAAACCTCCAAATCTCTATGAGCACAGACTGAAGAAAGAGTAATTTCAACTGAAGAAACTTCAGCATGTGCAGTTCCAAATCTAGTAGCAAGGACTGTTAGTATAAGTGTCAAATCAGGAATGATATTGTGCGTCTGGAGAGAAGTGAAACTACGGGAATGAGTGGGGAGGTGGAAAACTGTGCACAACTAGAAACCCATTAGTCAGAATCTAAGAGTATAATGTGATTTAAAATCCATTATGAAGAAAAGAATAAATGCCTAGACAAATGGAAAGTTAAATAAAATGCAGCAATGGACTTAGAAAAAATAGATTCATTTTTTGTTTGGTGACATTTTCTAGAAAATAAAACTTGAGAAAATCTAATCCATTTGGACCTTATTAAAGCATCTAACACAGAAGTGGGAAATTAATAGAGACACTGAAGGGATGGAGAAGAGTAAAAATAATGTGGATGCAGAATCTATGAGTGAGTAAAGCTACAAAAAAGGATATATTGGAAGGAGACCGATCATGTTCCTATTTCCAGACATTGATTTCTGCTACTGTTGGAGCCAAGGATGTCTCTGGGGTCTCATCTTATTACCCTTAGGGATCTAGCCACAAAGGAGCAACTGCAGCAAGGAAATTTGCATCACACATCCAATTGGTCAATGTACCGTCAATGGTTAAGTCCCACAGCGCAGGAAAGCTGGTGATCTTAAGGCCTGAAATAATAGCAGTACAATGCATTTAATATATTCCAGGAAGGTATTTGCTTGGTTTTGTGAATCATTTACCACATGCCATGATAACCTACAATAAGTATATTCAGTGTGCTCAGCAGTGGTGAGGCTTCCTCTGGGATTCTTTGTCCTGTTTTGGACATCAAACTTCAAGAAAGAGGTGGAGGAGCCAAAAACAGCCAGAGGAGATAAACAAGTATGGGAAGAAATGTAACAAGCATGTCAGTGAGGAAAGAATTAGAGATGATTAAGCTAAGCAAGAGACGTTCAGGAGGTCAGATGGTCCTGTAATACAGAAAAGGCTGCCTGCTTTAAAAAAAAAGCAGTAGTCTCTTTTCTATGACTGCTGCTGATAGGACAAAAAATAATGGAGCGGCCTTAGCTTGCAGTGAGGAGATTTAGTTTAAGCTTCCCGAAAACCTTTTTTAATGAAAATTATAATTAAGTACCGGGATAGATTGCTAAGGACACTGCAGAGTAGCCACCTCTGGATTTTTTAGGGCACTAACATCTCTCAGGATGAATTTTGGTGTATTTATTAAATGAGAAGAACAATAGAGTAGTTAATGGATATCACTTTTTATGGAGTGAACTCCACTTACAGTCTTCTCCTATTTGTCCAATTTGGCCCTACATGGATTACCTCCCACTAATGAAAGGAACTAATGATGTTGATGGGAGTCTTGACAGTACTCAGGTAGCCTAGTTGGCGTCAGCCTTCTCTTAACTTCTCAAGCAACACATCGTTAGGACTGCCAATGGCCTACATCCCTTAGGTATTGGTTCCTTGCTGAGACTGCAGGAAAGTATTGTGGCCACCAGCTCCACACAGCAGTGGGATGAGTGGAGAGGCAGCATGGCTAGCAAGGGGTCAGCTTGCTTTGCTGTCTAATGCTTGGGTTGATCCATGGTAGAGTCACAGGCCAAGTCCAAGTGCTAAAAGCATCCAAAATGCAGAACCGAGGTGGGTGTTGGTTGAGGGGCTCAGTTCAGGGGTTCAACCTTGCTCTGCAAGGCAAGACTGAGGTAGTGGACATGCCTGTGTCAGGACTGTAGGTATTGGCCAGGACCTTCACAGGGCTGGAGTCACCCAGTGCTGCTGTTCTTCCAGCTCAGCAGGAAAGGGAAGCTGTGCATCATGCCTCATGCTCAGAAAGCCCACTGTATCTGTTGTGTGGGGTCAGAGTATGACCCATGGTGAAGGGCTTAATCCCAGACAAGCCTGTTGTTTTGTTAAGCACAAAGACACCCTGAGCACAGGAAGATGGGAGTGGAAATAGTACCTCCAGGTCCACTGTCCCTGGTCTCCTGGTGCTCTGTAGGCACCTGCCCCTGACAGTGGCAGCTGGAGATCTCCATACACCTCCAGGCTGGCACAGTAAGGCCATTCTTATATTTCACTAATAAGCCTTTACAGCTCTGAGGCCCAAGATATGGCCTCTTCTAATCTCTCCCTGCTCCATTTTCTATTATTCTTTACTAGTCATGTTTGAGAGCTGAACAGAAAGCAAGCAGCCTACAGATAGATAAACTCGCATATAAGCACCGTGTATATTCAAAAACTCAGGGGAGTGCAACACCTACTCAGGGCTGCACCTTAAAGAGACAGACCAATCCATTAATGCAGCTGACCTTACTGGATTTGCAGATGTGTGATAACCTCATGTGTTAGATGCTTCATTCTCATATAAAATTACAAAGCAGGAGCTCACACACGCTCAGGCTCTCTTACAGCTCTGCCTTGCCTGCACAAAACAGCTTCTGAAACCGTGGCTCTGCTGCCATTCGTATTTACGACCTTGCTGTCTGGCTCTAATGAGAGCAGTGCCTAGTCATGTAGGTGGCAGCTCTACCCTCCAGACCTCCACAACGGTTGCAGCAGCAGTGGGAGAATTTCAGAAGAGGCTCATTATAAATGAAAGCCCCATTGCTCAATCACAGAGAGGTGATTGAAATCTTGAACCTCCACTCATCCAAGTTAAACGAGCGTTACTCTCCTCTGACCTGCTAGTGGTGCATTCATTTACACAGCACAGAGGGCATCAGGTGGACCTGTTAAAGACTCCACATCCATTTTACATTGCAGGAATGCATACAAGCACCCAAAGTGCAGGGCAAAGGGGAACAAGCTAGACACTGTTGGTGTCATTTATGGAGGCAACACTGCTTATTTCCCAAATAATTTTTCTTGTCTGTAAGCATGAAATGAGTTCAAAATTACAGGATACAATATTTGAAAATGTATCGCTTCAGGCAGTTGTTTTGTGTTTGGATATACACTTCTAGATGGGACCTTCTGCTCAAACTACCCAGGGTTTATTTAATGCACAAAGCTGAGAGAGGCCAGCTCTGTTTAAAATGGAAGCTCTCGTTTCAGTTCTCTTGAAGATATGGTATATGGGTGTGACACAATTTGAAGGAAAAGGCTGGATGTGTCTGGAAGGTACTTAAGGGGGAATATGTGTGTGTTATAGTAAGGTGAACTGTTTGCAGCATATATAGGATCAGTAAAGGAGATTTTCAGAAACTTCAGGGTCCCACTCACAGTCCATTGGATTTGTGTTCCTGTTAGTCCTGTGAATAATTTTTGAAGTCTCATAGTCTTCTCATGTCTTCTTTTCTTTGTACAACTAGATCGGTGTGTGCTTTACCATGAACAGATAATACTATCCAATGTGGCAGTAGCATTTGATGTACACGGGGCTGTTACAGAGGTGTCATGCTCATCTCACTTTTCACTGACGCTTGCCTCAGACCTGTAGATGAATGAGTCACTCCATGTTTTGACAGCAGAGATAACTACAGTGCACCAGTACATACACATGTAGTTTTCTGAGTACGATCTTGTACCTGCTTTTTAGAGTGATGAACTAGGCAGGTGACTTTATTATAGACATCATTATAAACCCTGGTGTTCTAGCTATGAGTTATGTGTAGATATTCACAAAGTGCTGCTAACAGGTTTTCTCCTCCACTGTCTTCCCCCCAAAGAGACTGAACCAGCATATAAACATTAATGAAGGAATACAAAGGAAATACAGTCATACACTATTATATTACAGAAAGGTCACGCACGTTACACATATACATATGTAGAAACAATTTTCTATAAAAAGAGGAGGAAAAATAAAATTACATAACCAAGCACATCTTACTATGTATCTTACAAACACTGTGAAGAGAATTCTAGTGCAGATTTTGCTTTCTTCTAGCTTGTTCAGATTTGCATTTTACAAAGTGAAAAATTTGCTTCCAAACTTTCAAGTAGTAATAGTCCAAGGAATTTACTAGAGAATTACAGATCACATAATAAGCTTTCTATAAAATATTTAAAACAGTCAATTAAACTCCAGAACAAGAATGTTGTTCTCCATTAAACAGCACAAATTGAACCATGTTTCCAATTCAGTCAAAGGCAAAATTCCAATGATTTCTGTGGGTCTGGAGTGACACCTTATCCATTGTTTACAAAATTCTATAAAAATATTACTACTATTGATTAATTTGGGACATTTATTAAATTAATTAATTAATTTTTATGGAACTATTTTTCAGGGGTTGCTTACCATGATCTTATTATTAAAAACATTGTTTAGCTTGTTTTAATGTGAACTGTGAGAAAGTACTATCGCTGTTTATGTTCTTTTTGCCTATAAACTATGGTGGTGTGAGTGGGTCTCAGCAAAAATATAGGCCTGACTGTACAAAAGACCCTTATTTAAAAAGGTATATATCACAGAGTCTTGTGGCAAGGAACCAACACAGCGTTTGTGATCTGTGCAATACTGCAAAATGTTGTAAGCTGTGAGGAGTTTGCAAGGGAAAATTACTGCTTCTAAAAAGAGTGATGTGAATGAGTCTGACCTATATGGATTACAACAGAAATATTAACTTTCGCCAAAAAGATGGTATTTAGGATGAACATAGAGCTATGTTTATTCTCTGAAATAAGGGATATTTTTCATATATTTCAGCTTACCTTCCTCTGCTGAATAAATTCTTCATGTAACTTCCCATTATACCTACAGTAAATCAACCCCTTAGCGAATGCTTTTCTTTTAAACCATTATTATCTTGTCCTTATTCACTGTTAGCACCTCTTTCCCAGGCAGGGACAAAAAACCCCTCCAGCTGCTTAACTGCCCTCTTCCTTGCAATAGGCCAGAATTTCATATCACAGTGGAACTTTAAGCCCTTTATTACTGTTTTACACATATAATGCAACCCAAAGCAAAGCACGCAACCCCAGAGCTATTCCCAGTTACTATTAAAAGAATATTAAGCATTCACCTTTCCATGCATTAAAATTGTCCGTGCTGTAACGATAGCCACAGCAGAGCCCACTGGGGGTAACTGCAGCTCCAAAACGCAGCCCCAACAGCAGCAGTTACAGGGCAGAAGGAAAAGGCAGCTTTTGAGCTGCCCTTTTGTGCAGAAACTGAAATCCATCCAGGCAGATTAAATGCTTCAAAAATAGGAAAAGGCAGGAGGCATCTAGACGTACTGACTCTTGGAGTATGAGCTTTCAGTCTTGCTGTGCAAATGCTGGCTGTGAGTGGGGTAGTGGGTTGGTGCAGAGTATCCGTAGCTTCCAGTTTTCTCACAACAGCGGTAAAAGCAACAGAATATGGCTCCAGAAGCGATGAGGCAGAAGGCAGCTGCCCAGCCCAGGTAAAGGGCCTCTCCAAGCTCCCTTTTCTGTGCAACGTTGATCATGGGGTTATAGAAGTCACTGATGATGGTGTTGGCAACCCAGCAGACTGGAATAAGCTCGACTGCACCCGAAAGAATGAAGAGGAGCCCAGCTGTCAGAATAATATAGCCCTTGGCTTGCCAGCTGCTCTGCACGCACCGCGTGCACTTCATCCCAACGATGGCGACCACAAAAGAGAGGAAGGAGAGCACCGATCCAGCACACATCAGCCCTCTGGATGCCTGCAGGTCCGGCGAGAGGGCCAGCACGGAGTCGTAGACTTTGCACTGCATCCTGATGTTGGCTTGCCTGATGCAGTGCATCCACAGGCCTTCCCAAATGGTCTCAAACACGATGATGTTGTTCTCGATGAAGGCAGACACCCTCCACTGAGGCATGCCCGTGACAGCAAATGTTCCGATCATGCCAAGGCCACCAACAAGCAGCCCAGCAATCTGCAAAACACCACCGACCATGTTGCCTTTACAAGGTGAGCACACCTCAGCAGGTTCCCTAAGCCAGGCTCACACTGCTGGCAGAAAAAAGAACACTTTTTTTCCAAAAGTCGTTGTCCCTTGTGTAAAGAAAGTTTCAGAGTCAGTCTGCACAATTTTAAATCAGCTTAAATCTGGCACACACTACCGGGGACTTGGCTGCACCTTCATCGCCTTTATAATTCCTCTGCCACCACTGACTCAAAGAGGCAAACTGAGCAATCAAGTGGAACAACTTTCCAAAGCAAGAGAAAGGACAGGGTGTGTGTAAACCAGCTAGAGCCACTTAGGATGAATGTACCTTCTGAGGAAAATGCTTTGCATTGAAGTCACTTATTTAAAAAATTAAAAAAAAAAAAAAAAAAAAAGCAAGCCCTAGCCTTAACTAGCTATTGTCTACAGGTTTGCCTGTGCTTAAGGAAATGGACTGGTCTCAGCAGGGAGACTTAGGTGTGCACTGGTGCAGTTACTGAAGCTGTTGCACTGAACAAACAAGAATATTCGTCCTCGGCTGGGCTCAGTGGCAAATTGCCAGGAGGAAAGCAGAGCTGTGCTCCCTGCCACAGGGCCTCTGCTCCCAAAAGTACTTTTGTTCTGAAGCTTGAAGGAGAGTACTGCAGTGACAGGATCAAGGAACAAAGCAAGTCAAAAGGATAAAGATAAAGAATCTCTGAACCTGAAACAGTTCTGCAGCGGATAATCAAAGCTGCAAAAGACCTTTTAAGAGGTAGAGGAACAATACGAGACCTCAGTCCTGCTAATACCTGTACACATACATACCTTTATACATTTCTGTTGCTGTACCAAGTGTTATGGGAATAGGCAGGCTTCTGGAGATACCCACATGCTTAAATGATTGCACAGTCAGGTGTACAGAATGGTGATTTAAGCTATGTACCAAATTGTTTTTCTGTGCAAAAGTGAACCCAGCAATTACCCAGTGATACAGTCTAGCGTAATGGAAAGCATTGGTTCTCCAAGACCTATCCATGTACAAACAAATACTTTTGAAAAACATCTCTTTTTTAAATTTTTTTTTTTTACATTAAACATAGTAACTATGAAGAGCAGGTGAACTGTTCATTCAAACGTTCTTGTGTGATGTGATCAGCAGACAATCCTGGAAAATGCCAGGTGAAGAAATCTGTGAAATTCAGAGCAACAGAAACCACAATCAAAAATCTATGAAAAAAAACCAGGCACGTAACAGTGGGGTTTTTTTTACAAATTTGAATAGCTATGAATGTATGCATGAAGGATTCAGCCTGATGTCTGCATGTGCCTTAACATGGAAAATAAAAAATTAGGCATAAACTAGGATTTTTTTGTTATAAAGTAGTACTATATATGTTAAGACAAGAACTAATTTTTTACACTGTTAAAGATCAATTTAAGATATAATTAGCTAGGTTTTGAAATACTAGTCTCCTGCTATTCATTTAAACTTTCTTATATAATTAGCTAGATTTTGAAATACTAGTCTCCTGCTATTCATTTAAACTTTCTTGCCTCTTTTTCTGTTTTAGCCATTTATATATCTTCAAAACCAGAAAGTAAATGCAAAAAAAAATAGAGCACTGCTGTGCTAAATATGCCAGTATATCAAAGAGAGAAAAGTCCCACTTGCATGTAGTGTTTGTATGCTCCCTAAGTGTGTTTGTGTGTGTGTGCATGTGTAAAACTATGGTTGGGAGACAAGGGAAAGTAAGAGGAACCCTACAAATCTTTCCATCTTCAGTTTGGCTTTCATAGCTACCTGCTTTTCCAACCTCTACAACAGACTGCTGCTTATAAAGGTATGCTAAAATGATGAAGGCTGGTAACCTCTCCTTCTGTTTCTGGTCCCTTGAGCCCTGATTTGTGGCCAGGCAACTTTCCATTACGCCGTTTTGTTTTATTTCTATCTCTGAAATCAAACCTGCTATCTGCATGATTTTCCTAATCCGAAGGCACCAAGAGCCTTGCCCTGAAAAGTGCAGTTAGTCTGCTGGCAGCTCCAAAAGCATTTTAAGGGACGAGAAGACAAGCAAGAGTCTTGTTTTTTGGGGTTTTCTCCTACTGCTGTGGTGCTCAGTGGTATCTGATCCCATGGCAACCACACTGCCTGCTCTGCATTTCTCCCGCCACACATTTGTAGTTGCAGTTTTGTCTCCTGCTTGCCATCAGTCAGCATCTCCAGGCAGTTCAAGCCCCTCTTGCTGTGTCTGTGAGTAGGCCCACATCATTTTTGCCTGGCCCTGGGCTTTACATGCCGCAGCCCCATGCCCCGGTGCCCTGCTGCGCTCCTTGCCTTTGCTGGCCTGCACGCAGAGGGGAGCGGGCAGTGCCCTCCTCCCAAAGGTGGGGTGCACTGCAGGTGCAAGGACACTGCCAGGTAATAGGTCTCCTCCTGCTGCAACCCCTGGTCTCCTGTGAAGGGCATCATTTTCCAGCCAGCAATAAAGGGTGACTTGATTTTGCTGGGCAGAATGTATCCGCTCCCAATGCATTCTTCTGGAGAGGCCACGCTAACTCTTGCTGTATTGACATAAGAACTTTATAGACTGCTATAGCATGAGAGAGTCTGGGTCTGTGTAACTGAAATCACAATTTGCTGCTTTGCATGCTGCAAACTAGCCTCTCATAGACTGATAAGCGATGGAGGTCTGGGTACAGGACTTTGGGAAAAACAAGTGAGGAAAACTTGTTGAATGACCAGATTCATAGAATCACAGAAAAATTCAAGTTAGAAGGAGCCTCTGGGTGTCATGTAATCCAACCCGTACTTGAAGCTGTGACCTTCAAAGTCACAAAGCTAAGAACCCAATCAAGGTCCATTTCAGTCACCAAAAATGTCCCAAAGATTTCTTGGGGAAAAAGGGTGGTTAAATCCTGTTCCCCCAAGGGTGAGACAAGGAGGATTTTAAGGAGAGGCTATAAATGCACAATATTTCTCTGCTAATATGGATTTGCCATATTAAATATATAATAAAGTAATTATCATTGCATGGCTTTGCAGCCCCATGGTTGCCACTCAAACAGCAAAGAAAAAGCTACCAGTCTATAGCAGAACAAATAAATAAACACTTTAATACATATCAGTAAATAAACACAAATGTGATACAAGCAGCAGGGCTATTTTTTCTTAGAGACTACCAAAGTTCTAATTTACAGGACATGGAAAATAATTAGCTGAACAAATATAATTTAACCACGTTATTGATTAATTTACAAAATCATTAAAGCTCCCATATAAATTCATCGTAAGATTGTATCTGTGTCAAGGATTCAGTATTTGCACATTCTTAGAAAGATTAAATTTTAGTTCCTTATCTTGCTTAAAAAACATCTTCATACAGAAATGTGGGGAAACCTTAGTTACCATTATGGATTACATCTGCTTGTTTACAATTAAAACACAGGAAGAGGGCAAGTCATTATTCATTCTTCTTTGTATTCAAACATGACATTTCATTGCAGGGAAATATAAAAAATACCTGTGACTAGCTAATCATATTTCACTGTTGGCCACAGGAATCTGTTACTTTATATATAAACAAATCTAGACATACATCATTTAAACTTTTTCTTTTCTTTTCTTTTCTTTTCTTTTCTTTTCTTTTCTTTTCTTTTCTTTTCTTTTCTTTTCTTTTCTTTTCTTTTCTTTTCTTTTCTTTTCTTTTCTTTTCTTTTCTTTTCTTTTCTTTTCTTTTCTTTTCTTTTCTTTTCTTTTCTTTTCTTTTCTTTTCTTTTCTTTTCTTTTCTTTTCTTTTCTTTTCTTTTCTTTTCTTTTCTTTTCTTTTCTTTTCTTTTCTTTTCTTTTCTTTTCTTTTCTTTTCTTTTCTTTTCTTTTCTTTTCTTTTCTTTTCTTTTCTTTTCTTTTCTTTTCTTTTCTTTTCTTTTCTTTTCTTTTCTTTTCTTTTCTTTTCTTTTCTTTTCTTTTCTTTTCTTTTCTTTTCTTTTCTTTTCTTTTCTTTTCTTTTCTTTTCTTTTCTTTTCTTTTCTTTTCTTTTCTTTTCTTTTCTTTTCTTTTCTTTTCTTTTCTTTTCTTTTCTTTTCTTTTCTTTTCTTTTCTTTTCTTTTCTTTTCTTTTCTTTTCTTTTCTTTTCTTTTCTTTTCTTTTCTTTTCTTTTCTTTTCTTTTCTTTTCTTTTCTTTTCTTTTCTTTTCTTTTCTTTTCTTTTCTTTTCTTTTCTTTTCTTTTCTTTTCTTTTCTTTTCTTTTCTTTTCTTTTCTTTTCTTTTCTTTTCTTTTCTTTTCTTTTCTTTTCTTTTCTTTTCTTTTCTTTTCTTTTCTTTTCTTTTCTTTTCTTTTCTTTTCTTTTCTTTTCTTTTCTTTTCTTTTCTTTTCTTTTCTTTTCTTTTCTTTTCTTTTCTTTTCTTTTCTTTTCTTTTCTTTTCTTTTCTTTTCTTTTCTTTTCTTTTCTTTTCTTTTCTTTTCTTTTCTTTTCTTTTCTTTTCTTTTCTTTTCTTTTCTTTTCTTTTCTTTTCTTTTCTTTTCTTTTCTTTTCTTTTCTTTTCTTTTCTTTTCTTTTCTTTTCTTTTCTTTTCTTTTCTTTTCTTTTCTTTTCTTTTCTTTTCTTTTCTTTTCTTTTCTTTTCTTTTCTTTTCTTTTCTTTTCTTTTCTTTTCTTTTCTTTTCTTTTCTTTTCTTTTCTTTTCTTTTCTTTTCTTTTCTTTTC